CTTTACTCAAACCCCTGTGCTTGGTCAAACTCACCACCACAGTACATCCGTTGTTCATGTTATGGATATCTTTGTGAGCGTGAGCACAGAAATCCACGCAAGCTGTCACCCCGGAAAACGGTCTTTCTGGTTTAGTACCCAGCCTACAGTCTGAGGCAACTTCTTCAAAACCGATCTGGTTTCTGAAAGATCTTGGTGCCAGGGTCTTGTACAGTGGATTAATATGATCCACCAGATTCTGAAGTCTATCTTCAACAAGACGTTCTTCTTCTTTGACACTCAGCCTGAATTTCCTAACTTCTTTGGATCTGGTGAACTTGCATCCATTATAGTACATGCTCCAAGAGCATCCAAAAGAAAAGCTAGCTCCACACGTGTCTTCGTTGATTCCCTGGCATGCGCAGGTTCGTGGATCATTCGTTGCGCATCTTCTTTTAGTTGGAACTCCAAACTTGTTGAGTTTGTCTGTTAGGAGGGAGTAGAGATCAGAGGCGTGGTCTTGAGTGATGCCGTCCCACACTACCATGCAGATGATGATGAAAGCTGATTGACAGGAGTGGCCATTTCGGTGCTTAACTATGACTAGATATTTTTCTTCTAAACTTACTCTGCGATGGACCTAGAAAATTTAATTTTGTGTTTTATGGCATGTTTAAAAAAGAACTAACTCGTATAATATTATTTATTTATGATAGAATAAACATGTTTTGTATAAAAACTCTCGCTAATATACAGGGTGGTCCAAACTGTATTCCGGAAACTAATGAAAAAACGGATGTCCTAAAATGCATAGTTTCGGAGATACAGGGTGTAGAAGTTTCATTTTTATTTAGATTTTTTCCAAATAATTTTTGAAGTAACGTCAATATTTGGATGAAAATTGGTGTCTGGGAGTTTTTTGATGTGAGAGACTCCTAGTTGTAGATGGCGCCGCCTACATATTTTTTAACTGGTTTGAAAAGTAATAACTTTTCGTCCGTACCTGTATAATACTACTAAGTAAAAAAATATACATTTACGACGTTTTTTACGTAAAAAATATCTCTTGAAAAAAATCGCTACGGGTAATGGTTCTCGAGATATTTGGAATTGAAATTATCAATACAACTTCTACACCCTCTATCTCCGAAATTGGGCATTTATACGAACTTTTTTATTTATTTTTATCTGCAGAATATTACAGTTGAGGGTTGGAACCTTTGGTGTTACACAGCAAATTAAAAACACTAAATAGCCACAATACACCAAAACACTTTTACTGTAACTCAGTTTACAATCATCTGCTGATGATGCTAACATGGTTAGCGAAACGCGCGTCCAGTGTAAAAGTAAATGTAATACAGTAAGTAGTACAGTATACAATAAGTAATACACCAAAACACTTTTACTTTTACACTGGACGCGCGTTTCGCTAACCATGTTAGCATCATTAGATAATTATAAACTCAGTTTGTGAGCCACAAATACACCAAAAGTGTTTTGGTGTATTGTGGCGATTTAGTGTTTTTATTTTGCAGAATATGCTGTTAAAGTTTCCGGAACACAGTTCGGACCACCCTGTATAGTGTGATTCACGGCGATGGCACGTTAGACGTTTATGAAGAACCGGTGATAGAATTTTTTGGAAAATTTGGTGTCCATTTATCTAAAATATTTACGGCGTTACAATGTTGCCGCGTCATTTGAAAAGTTGTATTATCTTTCTTATTTTGAATGGAACACCCGGTATATTAACACATTTTTGGAAACTACTTTCATATCTCATAATTTTTCTATTAAACTAACCCCTATAACTATCTGTAACATTTTTTTAAATGGCTTTACTGAAACCAGAAGGTTTAGATATAGGAACATGATATATCGTTTAAAAGCAATTTTATTAGCAAATTTATATTATTTTTTAAATAATATACATAGGCTTGAATTTAAAATAACATTAATTTGAACGATTTTATAACAAACGGAAATAATTTTTTTTTCTGACCTCCCTGTTTGATATCCAATCAGTGGATTTAGACAAATCGAATATCTCGACTTTCCTTAACCTATAAACCAAATTTCAACTTTCAAAATGCCGAGTTTTTGATTTAATCGAGATCATGTTTTTGTTAATTTTAAACATATTTTATTTTTTATCTCGAAAACTATAGAGATATGTTTAGTTCAGTCATTGGGGATTTTTGATTGGAAAAAAGTCCGGAAGTTTTGCAACTTTGCAGGTTTATAGGTTTTGGGGTCCCTAACTAAAATCCATAAAATGCACATTTTCAAACTTGCCGCCGGCGCCGCCATCTTGCCAAGATGGCGCCCAAAATCGGTATTTTGAGAAATATCTCGAAAACTATGTGTTTTTCGCGGAAATTTGAAGATGAAATTGTATTCTCTTTAATTTTGCTCTCTTCAAGTTTTTGCAAAAAACGCATAGTTTTCGCGATATTTACAAAATACCGATTTTGGGCAGGCCCTTTTTTTGATCCCCAATGACTGAACTAGTTAGTAAAATAGAAAAATGAGGAGATATGAAAGCAGTTTCGAAAAATGTAGTAATATACCGGGTGTTCCATTTAAAGTAACAAAGATGCTACTACTTTTAGTATGAAACGACAACACTGTAATCCTGAAAATAATTTAGACGAGATTAAAATCATATAAAAAAAATTTCGGTTCTCTATAAAAGTCCTAACATAAATCACCCTGTATTTATCAATAAAAAACGTATTTTACAGACTCACCCATTTGGCAATTGGACACCCTTGAGCCGTTTTGCCCTCCTTCCCAGTGTACCTCACCTTCTCAATCCTAATAGCTGGTCCACTCAACCCCGTCTGACATTCCAGGTTATGTCTTAGTGTTCTAAGGTTACTAGCACAGCCTAAATGCGTATAATAAGTCCCCGGTTCTGGGGGACTCTGATCCGGAGGAAAACACTGACATCTCGGAATCTCCTCACCCAACTTTGGGAGGAGAAGTCTTCTCATTTATCCTGGTACTATCAGGGAATATAGTTTTACCGAAGGAGGAGATGATTTTCTTTTCTTTTTTTCATTCAGCCAAGTTCTAGTAGGTTCTGGTGATGCAAATGAGGTTTCTGAATGCTGTTGGTGGCAGCTGTTATAAAGTACTGCCTGAGAGTTTTGTTCTAAACTAGAAAGAAGGCTGAGGAGGTATTTCTGGCTTAGGTTCAGTAGAATTTGCTCCATGGTTTGGATATGGTTTTAGTCCCGTAATTCCATAACTTGGTTCTGATACTTGTTGCATTATTAATACTGACATTTGAAAGAGTTTTATTACTATTAGTGCCTTTTGCTCAATTTTCAACTCCAGTTTTAGTACCATTTTGGGTTTCCTCTTTGAATAGAAAATCGTTGTAGCCTAGTCTTAAATTGTTTTTGTTCCGGATTTAAAAGTTATTCTGAGCAAGATTCTGAGCATTTTCATACGGGTAAGCTTTCTTTGTCTGAGTTGGGAAGAGAGTAGTGGGGCCACTCATCAACACTTAGCGGATCTAAGCGATGATGGTATTATACCATAAAAAATGACCGGTAGAGTTTCCCCTGTTCTACTGGTTTCACGTCCTGTTCCATCTTTTGGCGTCAGTTCTGTTGCTTGTTCAGGATCATCGTTTTGATCCGTGTGTTCAGGTTCACCTTATCCGCTTGGGAAAGTCTTTATGAGTTGTCACTCTGGATTTTATTGGGAAGTGTGTTATCTGAGGTTGTTTGGTGCTGTTGTGGTATGTACTGATCGGATTGTTGGTAGGTTTGTTCCATTTTGGTGTTGGTTCGTATTTGTTGGTGTTGGCTGACGTTCCTACTATGGCTTTGTTGGGTGTTTCTTGCCATCATGTTGGGGATTGTGCTGTCCGCTGTACTGCTCTGTGCCTGGGTAGCCATTTCAGAGTTGTGTGAACCACCTGCGGACTGCTGGCGTTCACCTAAATAAAAAAATAAAATATAGAACTGAACTTTGATGTTTTTGAAGATGGTAGATTGTGTTCTAGCTTTTTGAAGCAATTTAGAAAGAATATAGAAAAATATCCGTAATTCTTTTAGTTTCAAATTATAAGCATATACAGTGTGATCATCAAAATGTTGTAGGTATACTCTACCTGTGGATACCCAGGCTGACCGTTTCCCGAACTCGCGTTAACGTACTGAGTCTGTTGCTGTTGCTGATTGGAACTAGGACTGAAATTAGCTGCACTAACAGTCGTATAAACCGTCTGTTGCTGTTGGTTTTGCTGTTGCTGCTGATTCCTGCTGTTGCTGTCCCTGATTGAAATTTGATTGGGAGTTGGTGATTCTGATTCACCACACTGTTAACCTATAAGAAAAACAAATTTACAATTCAAACCAATTTTATGAATACGGGCCAAAGATCTGCAAAAGCCAACAATAGCAAAAGTTAGCTTGAAACCGGAGAATAATAAAATTATAAAGATATACTATACTTACAGAGCTGGGTCTTGATTGAGATCCTTCGTTTCCAGAATTGTTCGAAGCAAACTGATTGTATTCCTGGTACTGTCTGCTAGTGTTGGCCTGTTGCTGAGTTTGTTGCTTGATTTGTTGCTGAGCTGCCGGACTGGGGTGTGTGGAGCATAGTCGGGGGTTTAATTGTATTATCATTTGAGCTGCTGAGTTTGGTACACTGTATCTGTAAAGTAAATAATCACATAATTTGAGTTATAGAATATTATGTGTGGTGTGTTTGGAAATTTAAAAAATAGTCTGATCACAAGTAAGAACGAATCTATACAGCATTACAAGTTAGAATTAAAGAATATTATACTAACATAATAAAGAATAAGACTTGAAAATCAATCATATTTCATCAAAAGTACACTCGTACGACCAGCTTTTTAAATATAACTGCAGTCCAATATTTTATTTATTTTATTTAAATATTCCAAACTAACCTGGGTGGTCTGGCGCTACAGGTGTCAATACTTGACGGCGCCAGTGTAGAAAGTGTTGGCTTCGAAAGCAGGCTGTTGGTACGTGGTTGGTAGATGTTCGGGTACCGTTGGTAAGTATCAATAGGTTGTCCAGCCAGCGATCTGCTGAATGAACTGTCCTTGCCATCCTGATACTAAAAGAAAAAGAAAAATTGTTTTGCATGGTGTATGGTACTGAAAATAGAAGGTACTTAACTTTGGTGGATGGGTCTGTTTGCCATAATATGTGTGGGGAAAACGGTTGGGGTCAGCGTAGAACGGCATTGGGGTCTGAAAAACAGACAATGTTATAAAAATTATTATAACAATAGTAATAAAAAATATAATCATAACTCGTTAAAAAGCATTCTTAATTTTAAAATGTTTGTCTGAGATAAACATTAAAAAATAACCAAAGTATGTATTGACGTTAATCAAAAAACAAAACTGCCTAGGAGTCATAGTTCTGACCGTAGAATTATATTTTAGGAAATTTTACACACGAAATTATTGCACAGGGTGTTTTAAAGTTAAGGTAAAAAAACAATCCCTCGATTAACCCTGTATAATATGCCAAATACTAAAGTTTATAAAAAGCTGAGTTTACGAATAAAAGATTATATAATTATACAGGCTGGTCACATACGACACGGAGTATTGTGAAGAAACGATGATTTTTAAGAAATTGTAAGTTTTGGGCTGATGAAGGACTATTAGAGGCAATAATTTAAAAAATACTTATTAAGATACAGAGTGTCCCAAATAAGTAAAAATATCAAAGTTGTATTTTTTTAAATGGAACACTCTGTATATTATTGCATTTTTAGTTTCTACGATTAAAATAAAGGTAAATTTGATTAAGGTTTATTATACTTAAACCTTACCGTTTTTGAAATATTTTCAATTTTGTGAAATTGCAGTAAAAATTTTAAGGCTTCGTTTCTCCAAGGGTACCAAAGTTTTTAATACTAAATATTTACTGAAGTTTATTTATTGTTCAGTTATTGTGTGGCAATAATAAAAATAATACTTCCTTATACAGAGTGTCTAAAAATTTATTTTAAATAATTATTAGCTTCAAACGGCAATAACTTGTTTAATTTAAATGGAACACAAAATTTAATAATAAATGGAACGAACCCAAAACTTAAAATTTGTAATACCTTTATTTTATGCGTAGAAACTAAAAATGTAATAATATATAGGGTGTTCCATTTAAAAAAATACAACTTTGATATTTTTTATTTATTCGGGACACTCTGTATTTTGTAAAAATATTTTTAAATTGTAGCTCTAATAGTCCTTCAACGAATCCAAAACTTACAATTTGTAAAAATCTAGTCGTTTAGCTACAATACTTCGTGTCGTATGTGGTGAACAACCCTGTATAGTTTTATAACATTTACAATTACTTTTCGATTTATTATCTGTTATATCTTTTATAGAAATATCTTTTATAGTTTTCTAGGATACGTTTTTTATAACTTTTACAGTTATTTTTTTATTTATAATAAAGTTTCAATAAAATTATTTTTTTTATTTAAATCACATGATTAAAATTAAAAGAGTCACTTGATTTAAATCATACCAACCCTGGTTAAAAGTAACAAAAATATAACAGTTTAAATTTGACCAGAAAGAAAAACAATTTTTCAATTTTTTTTGCTTGCTGTGTAGCCTATACGGACAAACACAGAAAACACTTAATTAACCGAGACCTGGTCAATTCCATCCCTAATCATCCTCCTAATCGTCGGTCCGTCACCCCGAAAAGGACAAAAACCATCCCCCAGAGTTTATTTTTGGACAGGGTTAAAGTTGAGCGACGGCCGGAGACCCCAAAGGGGGGAAAACCGGCCCTCCCTGACCTGCCCCAACGCGCCGCCTTGTTTACACGACCGACGGACCCTTCCTTCTTCATCTTCAACCCCTCACACTCCTCCACCGAAGCTATCAAATGGAGAATCTCCCCCCTGGAAGTCGTCGTGAGGCTCAGCTGATAATAACACGGACTTTTATTTTCAAGGTTAATGTTTTCGGGTGGTGCATTTTTCAAAAGGAGCGTGAATAAGGGTTGGTTCTACCCCACGCGAATTTTCGATGGGAGATGTGTTGGACTTGGGGGAGAGATACAGCGGAAAAAAGGTGTAAATATTAGGGAGTAGAATTGTCTTATGATTGCTTCATGCAAAACAAAATTTAGTTTAATTAAAATTAAAGGTTAGAATGATATAGGAAAATATAATATGATAGAAAAATAAACGGGGCGTCAGCCATGGCTCTGTACCAGCGACTTCGTTCGCGTCGAATTAATCATTTGTAATGGTGATGGTAAAGCAAAGCAAGAATTTCCATTAACATATAAACTGGATAAAATTTTCTCACATTTATGTCAGCATGAGAAAAAACAATATGGCGATATTATTATATAACTTGGTAATATGTGAGGGGTAGTTTCATCTCGTTGGAATTTGATTTTCGAAAAATCCGTTTGCCAAAAATAAGCTTTTTACGTCAAGCAGTTTAAGCAGAATCGTGGTTAAGAAATTACCCAACTTTTTCGAACACCCTGTATGATTTTCTTAAAAATTTCAAAATATGTAAAAAAAACAAATAAATTATGCTTGTCCAAGCGTTTTCCCGAAAGACTAACCGTTTCTTAAATAACAAATATTGTAATATTTGAGGGGAGTTTTCACCCTCTTGGAATTTGAGATTCGAGAAACCCCTCCTTATCGAACCTCTACACCCCACACTCAATCCGTTTACCAAAAATCAGCTTTAAACGTCAAGCAGTTTAAGCAGAATCGTGATTAATCAATGGTCATATTTCATGAAACATCCTGTAAAAATTTATAAAAAAATCGTACAATATGTAAAACAACACAATAAAATATACGTGTTTAAGAGTTTTTCCGAAAAACTCACCGGTTTTTAAATAAAAAATATTTTAATATTTGAGGGATAGTTTCACCCCTTTAGAATTCGAGTTTCGAAAAATCCCTTCTTATCGAACCTCTACACCCTAAAGTCAATCTGTTTTCCAAAAATCAGCTTTTTACGTCAAGCGCTTTAAGC